CTTTCGTCCATCCCAACACTATCTCTCCACCTACTCCACCCTCACCCCACCAAATGCAGGCGGGGGAACAAACTCTTGATGTAGCCCAGGCTGCCCGTGACCTTGCTATTTAACTGATGACCTTGAACTTCCAATCCATATGCCTCTGACTCCCGATGTTAGGATTCTAGGTATGTCTGCTCAGGCCTGGTTTTAAGGGGTGCTTTGAACTGAACCTGGGACTAGGAAAACACTCTGCCAATTCCCCACCTCCTGGGAATGTCATTTTAAAAGGTGCTGAGTACTGTTCACCTGCCAAGTCCTTACTGTAGGTGTACTCAACGGGGGTGGGGGGATAGATGATTGGAGGAAGAGGAGGGAGGGAGGAGGCAGAGCGAGAAGAGGCAATGGGCCATCCATAAGGCTGCATTAGGGGGGTGGCTTCTCATATGCTCACTTCCTATTGCCTAGTTGAGGACCAGGTTTTAGCAAAGCCCAGCATGCAAAGAATCCAGACCCTTTTCAAAGGAGAAATCTTTTCTCACAACTGTCAAAGCCGCATTTCCCCTTTTCTTCCCAGTAACAGTGTCCAGAAAATACCTAGAAGAAGGAGGGATATGGGAAAGTCCTAAACAAAAGCCTGCAGGCCTCTTAAGATAGTGAGTTTACCATAGAACTCGTGGAAAATTCTCATTCTTGCCTAAAAGGGTTCTGTGTTTTTAAGAAAGTGCAGTTTTGCTTCCGAGAAATTGCTCTGGGCCAGCAGATTGGATTTTAGGGCAAGTTCGTCCAGTGTTTTCTAAGTTCCTGGTTTTCCTCTGAAGACTTTGTGTTCCAGTGGCATTCAGATGTCACTCAGCTGGAGTGTAGCTCAGCAGTAGAACTTATGCTTAGATGTTCAAGGCCTTGGGGTCTACACCCCAACCCCCAAATCCCACTTAGAGCGTTAACTTTGAGTGCCTTTTACAACCCAGCAAACTTCATTACAAAATCTTCTCTATTAATTAGACCTTAGGTTGACAAAATGGATGGAGAACTATTTTTATTTTTCTTGCTGTCTTTTAGAAAACCCAATGTCTCAACCGTAGAGAGACATTTGGGTTTGGCTGCAGAATTCCAGAGCCTGCAGACTTGGGAGTTTTCCTTCTGCACAGAAAAAAAATTGAGCTGTCATTCTGCTCCTTTATTTTCTAGTGAAGAATTCTGGGAAGGAAAATTTAGCTAGGGAAGGTGTTTACAGGGAGGTTTTGGCTTTGCTTGAATGACTCATCCAAGGTCAGGCAAAGTCAAAACGCAGCGAGGGTTGAACATTGGTGGCCACCCTTTATGAAACTCAGTCCTTAAGTGGCTTTTGTATGGAGGTAAAATATGGTCAGAAGTTAGGGATTTGTGGGGCTATTTTTTCTCTCCAAATTTCAGAAGAGACCCCCCTATAACACCATTGACTTTACCTTCTATCCCTAGAGTGACAGATTGGAACGCCTGTACCTACTACAAGCCCACACCGGCCGGTGTTTTTTTTCTAAGGAAGGAGCAAGTCTTTGAGTTTAAAAAGCCCCAGAACCCTAAGGACAAGGCTCATGGTAGGGGAAGCCACTGGCTCAGGTGTCTACACTGCGTTTTGTGTCTTGGGTATTCACAAAGAGTGCACCACTGAGGACGTAGATCACCCAGCAATCCCCCGAGGGAATCTAAAGCTGTTTTATTTTATTGTGTCTGCTAGGCAGGTCCTTGTCTGTTTTACTCAAGTCTTGAACTTCTCACTAGCATCTAGGCTGCTAAGACCACACTTTCCTAACTGTTGCTTTCTCTGCATGCACAGGAAATGTCTGTAGGTCTGTCTGGCAAGTACTTCTTGCTCTCTCCACAGCCCCATTCCAAACTGCATTCAGTATAGAGAAACTTTAACTGCCTTCTCTCTGAGCCCGGAACACACCTGGGGCCACATTTTTCTATTACGTTAAAAAGACTCCATTTTCAATCAGCTGGCTTAGAAGGACTGTGTTTGTCCTTAACGTTTGTCAGATATCCCTACAAATCCCAAATGCTGCTTTTGTTTGTTTGTTATTGTTTGTTTTTCAAGACAGGGTTTCTCTGTATAGCCCTGGCTGTCCTGGAACTCACTATGTAGACCAGCTAGCTTCAAACACACAGAGGACCCCCCTGCCCGCCCTAGTGAGTGCTGGGACTAAAGGTATATGTCACCACCACCCAGCTTAAAAACCACTCTTTTAAACACATAAACACATAAGAAACCTAAGAACTAATTTTTTCAATGTAGCAATATGGGAGTAGGAAGTAGGAGAGGAACATCAGAAATCAGAAGGTTAGGGCTAGAGGTGAATATTTATTTGAAATGGTCAAAGTCCCTTTATCTCACACTTTTCACATGACGTCACTATGGTTGTTCTAGACCGTGGTGATATAGCAGTCCACAGTGCAGACAGACACAATTCTTGAGAAAGGACAGATTCTTCACCAAATTAATGATTTATCTATAATATTAGTAAGAGATCTTTGCTTTGAAGAAAAATAAAGGAGAGCCAGCATATAGTGGCCTTTGGGTGAAGCCTTGGAGGGGGGCTATGTTGGCATCTGGAAGAAGTTGAGTCCTCCTCTCCTCAAGAAATAGACAAAGACCCCAGCGGAATCCCCCTGCAGTGACTGCAAAACAGCTATGAGAAAGCCTGGCTGAGGCAGAGGAAATGCTAGGGCAGAGATGCGGCACCTTGTAGGTGACCTGGGTTCTTGGGCTTTTACCCCAGGGGACGAGGATTCAGGGGAGTGTTCAAACAAGGGAGCACCAGACGCTTGTTTGACAAGTCACTAGCTGCCTGGCCAGGGGAGGATAAGCCTCCGGGCATAAAAGAGGAGCAGCGGGTAAGGAGACCGCTGAAATGAGCCTGGAAATTAATTGTCCTGGAAATTATAAAAAACGTTTTGGGTGTAAACAAAAAGGGTGTAAATCACATAATGTGATTACAGAATACAAAGAATGGGAAACATAAAAAAAAACACTTAACTTGTGCAATTTGACAACTTCTGTGCTAGCACATCTAATTCTCTATGCCATGCGCTCGAGGGGCTGGTGACCCATGCTCCAGTCTATCTTCTCCAGAGGTAGCAGCGTTTGGCCGGAATACAGGCGGTGGCTCGCACCTGTAGTCCCGGCACTTAGGAGGCAGAGGCATGCGGATCTCTGTGAATTCGAGGACAGCCTGGTCTACAAAGTGAGTTCCCTATGCCTCCCAAGTGCTGGGACTAAGACAGCCAGAGCTACGCAGAGAGCCCCCCCAAATAAATAAATTATAAGCTTTTATGGGCTTTCTAGGGATGTTCTCCTCTTCCTATTTCCCCAAATTGCCTGAATGCCCATAAAAAAAACCAACAGGTCCCATCTAATTCTGTGATTATAGCACGAGTGCATTAGAACTCCTATGATTAAAGCTGGGGAAAAGCTGCCCACTAACTTGCCCACCCTTTACTTGGGCACACTTGGAGTTTGCTGAGGTCTAGAAAACATTACGTCCGCGAGGACCGGCAGGTGGCGCCAGGTGACCGTGAGCCGCTGAGGGCGCTCAGAGGCGTGAAGACAGCGGGTCCACAGCGTTGCTAGGGCCACCCTGTCACCGCCAATCTCCCGGGCAGCGGTAGGCAGGAGCAGTGGGCCGGGGGCTTGACCAGTCCCCCGATTTGATTTTAGGCTTCGTGCACCCTCAGCCGTCTGCAGTCGGGTCTGGAGCACCCAGGGCAGGAGGACTCGGCCCTTTCGGCACCGACACGGAGCCCCGTGGAGGCCGCAAAGCCCTGCCGCGAGGACCCGCGGCCTCGCGCCCCGGGGCAGTAC